TAATCTAGGTTCGGGTATTCCATAATTATTATTTAGCTAACTTAGGTATTTTAATATCACTTTTACTAATATAACCCTTTAATTATTTGTAATTTTACATAGTGAGACACCAAGTGACTAATATATCCCTAAATTTTGTTTTGTTTCCTTCAATAAGTTATTGAATTATAAATGTATTTTAAAAGTAGATAACTTTTGTATTTTTTATCGGTTTTACATATATAATATATCAAATTAATCATCTTTTGATGATCTTCGATTTGACATCCATATTGTATATATAAAATAAATAAATTATATTTATCTTTATAATAATAAAAAATAATAATATTTAATAAAATCCATTAGAAAAATAAAATTATTTCTCAATTGATATATTTATATTTAATGTAGTTATATAGTGTAAGTTAAAAAACTTAGTATAATATAACACAAGTAAGTCGCACAAATAAAAAGTATCATAATAAATATAGAACATATATATATATATATTCTTATAAAAGGTATTTAAATTTCCAAACTATTTTTTCTCATTAATTTTAAATTTTAAAGAAAAAATTAGCAAGCACCCGTGTAATACACGGGTGTTGTACTAGTATTAAATTAATCTTCTTTTGATAAGCTTCGATTTAACATCCATATTGTATGTATAAAAAAATAATTTATCTTTATAACAATAATAAAATCATTTTTAATATTAATTAGAAAAATAAAATTATTTATCAACTAATATATTTATATTTCAAGTAGTTATATGATATAAGTTATAAAAACTAATATAATATAACACATGTAAGTCATATGTAACACATATCATTCTAAAATATATAGTAATATATTTATTTTTTTTGTAAAAATGTAAACTAAATTTAATATAGTTTTCTCATTAATTTTAAAATTTAAGAATAATTTTTTAACAAGTACCGTGTAATACACGGGTGTTGTACTAGTATATATATATATTATATATATATAATAATAATATTATAAATTTAAATATACTTGAATTTATATATATCAAAATATATTAAAATTTATATATTATCCTATATTAAAAATTACATAAATATTTATTACTTATTTCAAAAAATATAATTGACCAGTTTGATCAACCAATTCTACCCGGTTTATTGAAAACAGGGGCGGACGCAGACTTTTAGGGCAACGGGGGCATAAATTACGGTAAACGGTCAACACCGAAGGTCAACAATCAAATCAATATTTAACCAATTACAAAATTAAAAATATTAAATCTTGACCAAACATCTTGTTTCTTATTTAATTGCTAGGGTTGAGTCTTACATTCTCATTTTAACAATAGAGACACATTTGATCCAATCCCTATAGTATATACATTTATGTAAAAGTGTTTTTTTTATGTATTTTTTGAGGGAAAATGAGATAAACATGAAGTTGAGTATAATATAAACATAATTCCACAACTTAAAAAATAACATACTATTAAACATAGTTTTAAAACTCGTCCTGGTAATCGACCCGGGCAGGTCTCCGGGTCACCGGTTCAACCGCCGGGTCACCGGGTCATTTGCTGAACTGGATAATTAATTTTAAAATTTATAAAATTATAAATCTTCTTACCTCTAGACGAAGAAAGAAATTCGATTTTCTCGTTGTTTATTCTATAGAGTATTTTGTGATATATAAATATACATAAAAATAACAAATTTAAATGTTTTGTATGTAAAATTTGTATATTAAAGTGGTAATAATATGTATATATTTACCATATAAATATATATACATAATTTTATTTTAAAAAGAAAAAGAAAATTAAAAAACAAAAAATAAAATAAAAAAATACATATAGGGATCGGGTCAAGCGGGTTGACCCAGCCGGGTCAATGCCCCGGGTCGGCCGGGTTTTGATCGGGTTTGACCGAGTCCGTTGTTGCCCGGTCCAATTAGCCCACCCGGTCCGGCTCCGGGTCGGCTGGGTCCCGGGTTGACCCGCACGGGCCGGTCCGGGTCACAAAACACTGCTATTAAAAGTTAAATAATTCTAAACATTTTATTTTAATTTTTTTTTTTTTTAATAATGAAATAACTTTACAAAATAATTAATAACATGCATTTTTTAATGTCTATAATAATACATTTATACAAATAATATATATACATATTATATTACTAAAAAATTCTATAGGGGCACGTGCCTCTACGGGCCCCTATGTAGGTCCGCCAATGATTGGAAACCAATTGTTTAAAGGAATCGAACCGTCTAGTTTACCGATTCTCGATCCAACAACCAGTTTGGCTCGGTTTTCAAAACAATAGTAGTTGATATTATTTTTATTTTTATTTTTTAAAATTTTATTAACCTTTAGAGTTGTATTTTTTATTTTTATCAACCATTATAATTATAGTAAAATTAATAACTATTTTTATAAAATATGTTTATTATTTAATAAAAAGTATAATTCGAAATATAGAAAACATTGTATAATAATTAAATATTTTTTATAAATAATGTTTTTTTTCTCTCAAAACTATTTTTTTTTTTTTACAAGGACCTTCTAGTTTCCGGATCCACATAGGAACCGACTAATCCGGTTTCTCTCAAAACTAATTTGTTACTATCATCACATTCACATGTGTATACGACGTCAAAATCGCAACAAAAAATAGTAAAGAACTTACTATGAGATTAATTTTACAATAGCCCAGCCAATTCGACGTGACCCAATTTGCAATTCTCTCCTTATAATCGATTTAGAACGGGCTTTTTCCGTTAATTGATAAAAA